GATTAGCATATAAAAACTTACCGAGATTGTGATCACACCCTCTTTGCCAACTTTCTCCATAGCTTTTGCAATTAACTCACCAATTTCTCTTTCCCCGTTAGCTGATATTGTCCCAACCTATAGTCGCAAATTTAAAATAAAAATTATAACTCGCAATTCTTGATGCTGTCTCCCAAACTAGGCCAATGGCTCTAGCAAAATCTAATACACAAACCTGAGCTATTTCTTCAGAGGTGCTAATCATCCGTGCTCTGCTTTTAAGATTTGTTACCACAGCATCAACAGCTAGATTTATACCTCGCCTCAAGTCCATTGCATTCATTCCAGCTGCAACTGACTTGCACCCTTCCATAAATATTGCCCGGGTAAGAACTGTAGCACATGTGGTTCCTACCAAAATTTAAACTGCTCCGTCATTATTCGGTAATAGTATCAACTTCACCAAATAATTGCATGATGCCAACATGTCAAAATGTAACAGTAATGAATACCTAACATTTGTAGGATGCCTTATGAATATAAGAAAATAATGCAATACAGCATTTCTTCCATAATCCATAATAACAAATAGCAAATGGTGAAGATTTGACTATAACATACAATCTATGAATATAACAGCTTACCATCACCAGCCACATCATTGGTAGCATTCGCAACCTGCTTTACAAGACTGGCACCGATATTCTTGACTTTATTCTTGAATTCAATGCTCTTTGCAACAGTTACTCCATCTTTTGTCACTTTAGGGGCACCAAAACTTTGCTCAATCACCACATTACGCCCCTTAAAACAGAAAAAACTTATCATCATTAAAATCGATGCCTTTCATTCATAACCAAAAATTTTACTCCACCCTTTTTCAGCTCTTTCCCCTTGCTCTACCTAACCACAGTATTGCATATTTCGCGTACCGCATATCACTTACCAGCTTCGTCATGAAAGAAGTCTTGTAATAACAATAATGTAACTATGAGCAATACCACGCACACCGAAACCAGTAATGCCTATCATGTAACTATGACTAAAACTAAATGATCTGATTAGTTACCTTAGGACCCATGGTTACTTTGACAGCATCAGCGAGCTCTTCAACACCGTTAAGCATCAGAGCCCGAGCCTCAACCCCGAATTTAATATCTTTGGCAGCATAGTTCCTGCTCCAATTCAACCTACTTCCAACCTATATAATGCAACAACAGATAAAAAATCATATATTAAAAATGAACAAAAAGGATCATAATCTCAAAAACATTATCAGAAGAAAAATCAAATAAGAGCTATTAAGATGATATGGTTGACCTGTTTACTACTGCTCCTAGCAATGCTACAACGAAAATAAGAATAATTTAGAGTTAGAACCAATCAAAAGAATATACTAAGAAAAAACATCAAAAACATGACAAAGAAACAATTTTGATCCATTTAGAAGCATTTTAAGATAGACCAAGAAGGAAAAACTTCATAAAAAAATGAAGCGATATGAAGGGCAGTTAAAAAATGAGGCAATGGCATTGGTGAGTTACCGAGCTTTGGAAGCAAGGGAAGTGGCAAAACGGTACATTATGAAGTGGATTGAATTGAGAGTAATGAAGAAATGGGGTAACTGAGAAACACAGTGAAGAATTTGCAGGTATACAATGAAGAATTTGCAGGGTTCCTTTTCAAGAGAAGCTATGAGAAGAGAAGCATCTAGAAGTAGCAGCTTCTAGGGTTTAAGGATTTATGATAATTAAACAAGAATGAATAATAAATTGACATTACAACAAACTCATACATTTTTAATACATACATATATTTCTCTAAATATTGTATATACATTATCAAAATTCTATTACTTTAGTTTATATATAATATTTTTTATTACTTCAAAATGAATTTAAATTTAGTGAATTGACCAAAAGTTATTTATACGTATATTATTATTTATGTAATAATTATTTATACTAGCGTGTCAACAGATATGAAATTTCATGTATGTCGATCCGCATTCTTATTTTATTATATTAAGTATTCAATTTTTATATATTTTATTTTATACAATTTGAATGTTTTTGTATTAAGAGTATGTTAAGAAATATATTTATTATAATTCAATTTAAGTTGAGATAGGTAGTTAATGTGCTAATGGTAGTTACTTAGGATTATACGATTTTTTTTTGTAGAAATTAAAAAATGTAATGGAAAAATAGGAAAATAGAAATTACACCATGGTAGTAGTTATTTCATGTTTTGACTTTGTGTCTGTCGACCCACATTCTTATTGAATGTTATGATTTATAATATGTGTCGTGAAAAATCATAACTATTTTATTCTAATTTTGATTACCAATTTATAATATGTGATGAATAAATAGTGTGAATAAATAGACCATAACAACACATATATAATTTATATAAAAATGGTGCATTGTTTAAAAATAACATAGAATATGCATTGAATATAAAGGAACATTGAATTATATATGATTTTTGGTAGAAATTATAAAATAAAGAGAGCAAAATAGACAACCACAAATTACACCATGGCGGGTGGTTAAGTTGGATGTTAGCTTTATATATAGTATATATACAGATAGATATACATAGGTTAGTATAAAATATATAAATAATTAATTAAATTGAAAATCTTGCTAATATTCCTAACTCCTGAATGGGTGGAGGTTTTTCAGAATAATTTTGCTAATATTTCTATTTAACCATCTTGTTGTGATGATATTGAAAATATTGTTTGTTGCATTATGATTACTAAATTAAAAAAAATGTTTTTATGCTATATTTTTTTTTGTTTAACCTTTGAAGGACGTTATTGGTAGAGCTTAGTTTCATGTAGAAATAATATCTCAATATTCCTTCACTATATGAATAAGAAATCAATAATTTAGCATAAGAATATATCATTTTCTTATGGTTCAACATATTGTTATCTATCATGTTTTCATATTTATGATTGTGAATCACAATTTAAGATTAAACATAATGCTATTAATATTTGAAAATAATTGACTTTTGTTAATAAATTAACCACTTTATAAATCATCATTAATAAACTAAGAGTGTGAAACAGTGCTAAAAACTAAATGTTAGATTCAAAATCAAAGAAAATAAAAGAAAGAATGTGTTCTTCTCCCTTCTATGATAATATAATAGCAACATTCTGAAACGCAAAAGAGAGTTGCAGTTACTTACAAATTAAAGTTGTAGGTAATTCGTAAGTCACAGGGAGTGGAACTATTATGGATTATATCTAAGAGATTTTTAAGTAGCATCATTTATCATTTATTTTCCATAATAATTGACTTTTAGATAAAAGTAATTCAAATGAATGGTAAATGATGTGCTGACTATATATAACATACTAATATTTTGTCTTTAAAATATATATATAAATCTTTATATTACTTATATATTACTACCATCCACATAATCAATTAACCTCTGTTATTAATTCTGAAACAAGTTAAAATAATCAATCAATACAATATTAAAACCAATCTAACAAATTTGAACACACACTCAAATAAGTGCATAGAAGTCACTCACTCAATTTTCTTACAAATATTTAATAAGAAAACAATAATATGTTTTTTGTATGCACTAATTGATGTTGAACTTTAAGGATGAAGTTATTGGTACTCCTAAATACAAAAAAGTTAAGCAATTTGGATTTTCATTAACTCCACCTGAACTTTACATATCAATGCCTCTATCTTAATTATCATAAAACTTGTCATTCTATGCAATGTTGTAAATATCACAATCATACAAGTTAGCTACTTGAATACCATATTAATCATCAAACTATATACTAGGATATGTGTTCATCAGTTTAATGATTAATTCACCAATGAAACCACATGCGATTAAAGTAGACATAAATATATTTCCATATGTATATACATGTAAAAAAAATTAAATAAACAAATATTCAAAATTAGATTCACAATCTACTTAAAAATCAAAATTTCCATAAACAAAGATAGATACTTTAACAAGTCCATAATTTAACTTGTAAAGATGAAACTACAGAGTATTTATCTCATCTAAAAGCTCAAAATATAAACAACAAAAAAACAGTGGTTTACAGGTCAGCATACCAAAAAAAATGTATTATAAATTTGAAGCTTTTACAGAAAGCCAAAATGTCTCATATTAACCACATGTGTAGCTTATTTTTTTATTTGCATTTTTCCTCTTTGGTTTTTCTGTAAAAACATTCAAGTGAATAGCTTGGTTTGTTATTCTTTAGTGTGGAAGAGGTTAGTTGAAACAGAATCTCTCTACTGTATCTAGGCTTTTAAGAGTAAGTAATTGTGACATTAAGTTAGTATAATTGTATCCACTTGTATACGGGTAACCCTCTATTTATAGAGAGATAGAATGAGATATACTCCCAAGTATGTGTTTCCATCCTTACGGATGCCTTACTTTTTGCTTGCACATACTAGCATTGTTGTAGGTTTGGTATACCTATGTTGTATAGGAGGTTTTTCTACTTTGTAGATGTTGACTCGGCCATGTTTTGTCAGTGTCGTTCTTTCTCATAGCTAGGTCAACCTCCTAGACATGATCAACAGTCATCTGGACCAAATCTTACTTGCGCACTTATGGGCTTGATTCATAGTGATAGAACAATATTGACCAATCCTTACATTGAGATAGAATACTAGTTTTCGCTAAAATCGACTAATATTTACTAGTTCTCTTTGATATTAATGTACGGCAGGTTAAACAATTGTAATGTATCATTGGTTTTCCAAATGTACATGCCCATGAAAATCTAATAAGAGTTTAATATATATACATTGTTTAAAGATTTATACACAATTAGTACATCATTCACCATCTATTTATATTACTTTTTCTGAAAAGTCAATAATAATTAAATATGAACGGTGAATGACACAATAACAATATATAAAATTCTTATATAGAACTCATCTCTGTATGGTGGCTACATCTTTCTTTAATTCAACTTAGCCAATTGCAATACAATGATCCTGAGTTTAAGCAGAGTTGATTGGAAGAGAATCATAATTCATTATTAATCTCTTCTTGATCATCATGCTGAGGCACAACAAAACAAGGCAATTAATTTAACAATCAAGCTTGATGTGGGAAAAAAGTTGACAGCTAACTAAAGCAGCATCTTCTATACATGACCTTATGTCGTCTTTATTTTACTTTTTGTTGTCTTATACATCACATTTCTTAATATTTCATCTCAAAACCAATTAACAATAGAGAAATATTTAAATCATTCTCGATACAATGAGGTAGACAACGTGAGACTTACTTCCCAACAATATTCTTTCTTGGTCGGAACCATGAGCTTTATTTATAAAGTAGTTGAGAAAACAGCTTCAAATATTGGATGACCCTGACTGTGAATAGTATAAAGTGCTATAAAAAAAGTTACATACGAGTGAAAGAAGCTTAGAAGGTTACAATCTGTCTTTTTTTTTGGTATAAGTACCCTGTATTTCTTCATCTTATCGGTAAAGAATTAGTCTCTTTTTGGGTATGTGGTTGTCTTTCCAAACAACCGGAATCAAACTTTTGGTCTAGTATGATACTTCGAATGAAACCTTACACCATTAGACCAACACCTCTTTGTGATGTTCATGACATGTAACAAATGGGACCACTTAAAATTAGAGCAATGAATCCCACTAAGGTGCATTTCTAATCATTATAGCCTCAAGTCTTCAAGTACAATTTTATTTTTGCATCTACCATATGTGGAATTTTGTGTCTTTAAGCGATTCTCAAAAGACACATTAAAGTTTGGTGCCAAAAGAATAAACAAAAAGTGCATACCTTTGTTGTGCTCATGCTCTTTTTGCCATTTGTTTAATATCAGATTTAGAGAAGGTGGCAACTAGCAATGATTTCATCAAATTAGAACAAAGGATAACAAAATTAAGTCCTAATGTATGTACATTCTTAGAGAATGAGAAGATTGAAGAGGGAAAGATATTTTTGAGAATTCCTCATTGAATTGAATGAATGAATAACAATAACTACCACCTACTATTTATAGGTGTTAGTTAAATAAAAACTTGTCATAGATGAAAAGTTTAGCAAGATAGCTTAATCATCAACACAAATAAACTAGAATAAGCTTAAACTAATATCCAAACACTAACACCATTCCTTATTCCTTATGCTAATAATTTAACATACATGATAATATATATTATAAACCTCTCTTACCTACACCACTAAGGTTCCCAAAATTTATGCCTTTTAAATAATATAAAAATAAAGAGGTTTGCCACCTCATTCAGTTTATTAGAAAAATGTTTCAATTAGTTGAGAAGTGGCTATTTGTCTTTATAAATTTACAATTCTTTTCCCAAGATTTAATGTTTATGAAATGAAATGTATGTGACAAAAATAAACTAAGTGTGTGACTGATTATTTGGCTGTCAACATTAAATTACATTAATATAGTGAGGTGAAGAGTGTAGCATGTGGGTGTTAACAAAATCACATGACTAATAATAAGAAAAACGAGAAACTAGTTTGTATACCAATAATAATAACAAGAAGTTGGTCTATTAGTGTATGACCCTGTTAGATCTCAGGAAGACCAAAAGGTCAAAAGTTCGATTTATGTGAGCGACATTTGTTAAGAGGGTCAGTCATGCAGGCATAAAAAAATTAGTTCCTTAACTATAAAGTGAGAAAACTCATTGATAGTACCAAAAAATATAAGCATTTTTACACGATTAGTGCATTCACAATTTATGTGTTAATAAAGTCGGAAAGAGATTAGTTCATTGACCATAAAGTGAAAATATATTTGATACTACCAAAACAAATATAAACATTTTTACATGATTAACACATTATCCACAATTTCCGTGTTAATAATCACATACTCTTTAATAAAAGTAATATATATGATTGATGTATTCAATATAAAAAACCTTGCAATAATGATGCAGAAATATTAAATGGTAAGATAAGGAATAATAGCATATATTATATGAAAGCATAAACATAATGGTGTTAGAATAAGGAAGTTGCTATCATGATAGGAATGTGAATTCTCTATACATATGCGTTGTATCTAGTAAGACAGCTAATCTAAAAGTAGAACATAGCATGCAACCATGAACTTTTTGGAGAACATGGAAACCTTATAAACAAATACATTTCATTGAAGTCATAACAAACTCCAAATGAAACACAAACTAGGTTCTTTAACTATTAATCATGAGAGGAGTAACCCAACATGTACTTAAACCATTACCGAGACAATGAGGTAGGCGATATGAGACTTACTTCTCAACATGCCCTCTTCACATAAGCTTCTTAGACCAGGCGAATGATTACCTTTGACCCATAACTAAAAGACATCTTTTTGGCCATTGACAACCAAAAAGAAGTTGGGTTCTAACTTTGATACCATGTTAAAGTTCCATCTCAAAACCAATTAGCAATGATATGAGTAGTCCAATAGATATTTAAACCATTCCCAAGACAATGAGGTATGCGATGTGAGACTTACTTTCCAACATACATCTTGTCTTATACCTCTTAACATGAGGTGTACCTTACTTAGACCTTAGGAAATATATCTATTATATAGTTCTTCCATTTGAATCATTAATACCTGTCTCTGTTTTACTTAGATACATTTCCCAAGATGGAAATCTTCTCTCTAAAGGAATTACCAACTTGTTTCCAAGAAATGGCAACAAGTACTGGATCAAAGTTTTTGGAGGGTGCAACTATAAGAGATTCTCATTCTCTCACTTCTTCTCATCAAGTTCATGTACTAACAAGTGAGGTAAACTTATCAAATTCTACTTCAATGAAAAAAGAGGTACCTTTTGCCACTTTCATTACTCATATCCCTACAAAGTTTCATGAAGACATCAATAACATGCAAGAGAAAAATCAACCCATTTTTGGTTTCAATTCTATATTCAACCCTTCTGTCACACCCTCAGATACCACAACACATAGCTCCATTCCTTTTAATCTTTTGCAAACTCTCCCAGCATTAACCAAAGCACCAAATTCTAATGAGAAAGTTGCTTCTTCTTCCACATCAAAGTTTCCAAATTTGACTTTGTTTTTGCATGAACCTTCCAAGGTGTACTCAAAATCCTCACATATCAAAAGTGGCAAAGTCATGTCAGAAGCATCTTCAGACCCTACATTTCATGCACCCAACATTTTCCAAACACATCATCATCAACCAGTTAGTGATAATGATTCACTCAAAATGAACAAGAACAATGTAACAAATATGAGGCCCAAATCATTCAATGAAAAATGGTTAAGCACCACTAGGGCTCAACCTATGAAGTTATGTGGTGATGGAAGAGAGAAGCTGTTTAAAGGGGTGAGGCAAAGACAATGGGGGAAATGGGTAGCAGAGATTAGATTACCAAGAAACAGAAAAAGGGTTTGGTTAGGAACATTTGACACAGATAAAGAAGCTGCATTTGCATATGATACAGCAGCATATATTCTAAGAGGAGAATTTGCTCAGCTAAATTTCCCACATATGAAGCATATGATTCAAGCCAATTCTTTGAATGGAACTATTGCTGCACTTGTTGAGGCAAAACTTCGAGCAATATCATCATCATCACAAGGTGGTTCTTCTTCTTCTTCTTCTTCTTATAGGAAGAAGATTACTGATTCATCATTAACAAGTGATGATAATGGCATATTGAAAAGTAGAAAAGGCAAGGAATCAATTTCAAGCTTAAAGGAGTGGCAGTTTAGTTGTGAGACAAGTGAGAGAAGCAGAAGTGTGCATCATGAGGTATCAGATTTGGAAGCTGTTCAGTTAAGCAGAATGCCATCCTTGGATATGGATATCATTTGGGATGCACTTTTAGTCTCCGATTCTTACAACAATAACTAAACCTTAATCTCATTAGGTTCACGACCGATTTAACTTTTTTTATTACTTCCAAACCAAACATATTAGCCTTGTTTGGTTCATTCATATTTCTCATTAGTATGATTTTATTTCAATTTTAGTTATGTATAATTTAAAAAACATGATATAACATTATTATTTTAATCTTATTTGATTGGGGATGAATTCATTTACTCCAAAAGTAAGTTAAAAAGATTTATTTCACATCATAGTCATTCAATCTTAGAAAAACCAATGATTTAGATGTACTCATCAATTCAAATCATTGAATTTCCCAAGAATAAATGATTCTGATGTGGAATAGTTTTTTTCACTTACTCCAGAGTAAGTGGATCTCTTCCCTAATTTAATGTAATTTATATTTTTTGAATTTTCTTTATTTTTGGCCCAAATTATCAATCTATTGATATAAATGATCAAGCATTGTGACTAGCAAAGGTTTTCTAACATATCCCATGTGTGCCATTTATTTTGTTTTACCAAAAAAGGCATAATGCTAGGGAAAAAAGAGAGGATCATCACATAAATCTCTAAACCTTTCACATCAAATCTATGTAGAATCCAATTGATTTCGATTCAAATCATGAAATCAATAAAATTGAACTAAAACAAGTTAAACAAATTGCTTCATTTTAGTTTAAACTTATGAAATTGTTGTAATATAGTTTAGAACATGATTTTACTCTTAAGAACCTATCCAAACAATATAGCATTCAATTATTATTATTTTATTATTTTGTCAAAGTAATAGACTTATTGGATACATATTGCTTATTTGGGGGGTTAACTTGTTCTGTTTCATGTTTACATAGTCCAAATTTTATTTTGTAAAGTGTTATTTATATCTTATCCATACTACTTATAAATGGATACTACTTATAAAGGGAAAACATAGATTAATCACCCATGATATAATTTTTCCCTATTTTATCATTTACCATTTATAATTTCATTTTTATACAAATCATGACCCTCTCAATGTCCAATTGATGTGTTATTTTTTTAAATGATCAGCAATTCTTAAACCTCCATCTCATTCCCATTTTTTATGTTATAGTTACCTATTAACTACCTCAGTTTTTGGTTTGTTCCCCCTGTTCACACTAAACCAAACAATTTTCTTTTGTTTGGTTTGTTTCTTATTCTTCTCCTAATGTTGAATTATTAGATATCCACTCCAACTACCATATTACCAAAATTACCTTAAGCTGAAACTTTGCAATTTACCAGCCTTCATCATCAAGAAGAGTAGATTGGGAGGATCATTTTCAAGGAGTCAAAGCATTGCTTTATTTGCATGACATTTTTTTAGAGATAGCTTAAGTATAACGTCAAAGAGGTGAAACAATAGCATATAAGATATTATGAGAAAATAAGTGATTTAGAAGGTTCCTAACCGATGAGCTCTAACCACCGAGGAGTCATATTGCTCTAGAGTTATGTGAAAAAGCTACCAACAAGTGATATACTACATTTTGAATTAAAATCTAAAGTTAATGATTCTATGAGCTTTTGTCATTTATAAAATCTTCTAATCATACTTCTATTCATACTTGAATATCCGCATATCTCTGAAATGAAGTCCACAAAAGTGTTAGTCACTCCTCCATAGATCCAACTTATCTAAGTGAACTAACACCATATATTGAACCAAAACAATGAGTTAACAACTCTTCGACACTTATAAATTCCTCTGATTATCCTTAGCCCACGTTATTATAAACTTAAGAGTAATGATATATCATCTTCATAAAATTTCATACTAAACCTTCTTACAGATTATTAATATATAAATATCATTTTGTATTAATAATATAGAAATATAAACCATTTTCCATATTTATAAGCTCCTTAGATTAGAAAAGCATGTGCAAACATGACCCACGTAGCGTAGAGCTATGAGGTTTTGCTCTAATGAGAATATTATCATTTTATTTGGTTAACATTAATAATTTATGAACAATTATTGTTCTTCCTCTCCACTCCCAAATTGATTTCGGTAACTGAATCCGATTGATCCTTAACCAACCCTAACCGCTTTTCTCTCTTCTCAGATTCAAACTTGAATCAAACGAAAC